GGGGGTAAAGGAGGTTTTGTGGGTAAGGGCTTGGACTTCCAACAAGCGTGCGTGAGCGTGTTAGATAGGATGAATGGAGACGAATGGTACTTGGGACCTGACGATCTGTTGGAGTGTGAGCAGGGTAAAATTTAGTGAAGGGATTCAGGGAAACCGGTTATTTTCATATAGTCGGACTTGAGTCCTGGAAATGGGAAGTACAATGCCTGCACTTTAAAGGAGGGTTTGGGATATTGGCATTTGGAGGGATATGTGTGTATCTTTATATGTTTATGCTTCTAGACTGTTGTATTCTGAGCACCTCTGCAAAAACAGTGATAATGTGCGAGTGTGGTGAAAGTGTTGAATGATGATGAAAGTATTTTCTTTTTGGGGATTTTCTTTTCTTTTTGGGTCACCCTGCCTCGGTGGGAGACGGCCGACTTGTTGAAAAAAAAAAAAAAAAAAAAAAAAAAAAAATCTTCCAAGACTAATTCTGCAAATGCTTCAGTCTGCAGTGGAGAAATAGCTGACATCCCAGAAGTTAAAATTTTAATTTCTTTTAATAGACAGTGCATATACAAATGGTATTGATGTCACTCAAGAAAACTCCCAGTGTTATGGTAGAATTAATTTATCTAAACATGACATTTTTGCTGCAGCTCATATAGGTTTAGCACTTCTTTTGATTTATTTTTTTAATATCACACCGGCCGATTCCCACCAAGGCAGGGTGGCCCGAAAAAGAAAAACTTTCACCATCATTCACTCCATCAGCTCTCAGACTGAAGGCTTGTTGTCTGCCATGTAGTTTATACATCATTGTGGACATGATTGTTAATGAAGAAACATTTTATATACAACCTCTCCTCATTTAATGACAGAGTTCTGTTCCTAAGACCATGTCAGTAAACAAATTCGTCGCTAAGTGAGGAGTATACTATAATGGTAGTGGGTTTGTGTCAACCGTCTTTGATATTGTTTTAACCCCTTCAGGGTCCAAGGCCCAAATCTGAAGTGGTGCCCCAGTGTCCAAGAATTTTCAAAAAAAAAATTTGTTATTTTTTCTTATGAAATGGTAGAGTATCTTTTTGTGAAGGTAATAAAACAAAAAGTACGAAATTTGATGGAAAATTGACGAAATTATGCTCTCGCGAATTTTGATGTGTCAGCGATATTTACGAATCGGTGATTTTGCCGACTTTGACTCCCATTTTAGGCCCAAATTTCATTATTCCAAATCAACCAAATTTTTTAGCTATTTCACTAGTATTACTTATATTTTTATCGATTGAGCACAAGAAATCGCCAAGTCAACTGTTTCAACACAAATTAAAGTGATCGGAAATTGTTTTAAATTTTGGGCCCAAATTTAAACACAAAGTTCAAAATATTCCCAATTTCAAAAATAGGGTCCAGAATAAACAATGTAGGTATTCCTGGAACTAAACTAACATTCCTCTGTTCATTAGTTACGTTTTGAAGCTTTACAAATAAATTCCATTTTGTTTTTATTCCATAATGAATTTTTTTTTTCACAACCAAAAAAAAGATTTACTGTTAGCAATACTGTAATAATTGTATAAATATCATCACCTATTTTTGAATGCATATTAGACCCACCACTGGGTGTATTAGACGTGTGAGGTCGTTTGGTTACTCTTGAAAATCGGCAAAAAATTTAACATTTTCTGCTACTTTGAGCTCAGTTTCAAGCCATTTCCAGTGCTAAAACCAATCAAAATCATCTTTATTTCTGTTATATGCTTCCATTCTATCAAATGAGACCAAGAAAATCGCAAATAAAACTATAAAAAACATACGAAAAAACACTGCAAAGTCGCTGTTTTAATCGAAAAATCATGATTTCAGTTTTTTTCTCTCATTATACACAGCGTGCTGCAGGATCTGTTTTATGTGGTGCACACATACCACATAGATGTATTCTCTCATATCTAGGCCCAAATGTACCACTCACAGTTTATCAGAGTGAGCTGAGCTCATGACGTAGATCTACGGTTTGGACCCTGAACATAAAGCCGTAGATCTACGGGACGGACCCTCAAAGGGTTAATGTCACCTTTGCATTATTTATAACATTTTTAGTATATTTTTAAATGTTTATATAGTAGTGTACTATATATTGTAATAAACAGAATAGAGGAAATCAGCCTAATATATATTACAGTGGACCCCCGGTTTACGATCAGCTCCCAATGCAACCAATTATGTAAGTGTATTTATGTAAGTGTGTTTGTATGTGTATGTTTGGGGGTCTGAAATGGACTAATCTAATTCACAATATTCCTTATGGGAACAAATTCTGTCAGTACTGGCACCTGAACATACTTCTGGAATGAAATAATATCATAAACCGGGGATCCACTGTATTTAGGTATGCAAACTGGTCAGAGACCCCATCGTAAATCAGAGTCGTCAGTAAATGAGTACTTCGCTAAGTGAGGAGAGGCTGCATTTATGTATTAGGAAGCAGCAAGCAGTGTAGTATACCAGTGTAGGTGTTTCATCAGTCTCTTGGAGGTGCTTGATGAGTTTAAGAATGTAATAATATATGCATGTTAGAAAAAATTGCAGCCAGAGGCAGTGTGCAAGTTCAATATACATTAGGTTGCTGGGGTTTTTAACATCCTGAAGTAAGGTCTGAATGCCATTTAGCAAGGAATATGACCTGATGAGAAATTGCCTTTTGTCTCCCTTCCTCATTCTTATTCTTTATTTAGTTTTTAAGCTTTTCATCAAAAAACATAGTTCGATAAAATAAGATACAATTTTTGAGGGGATTTGCCACCAAACACAGAATGGGTAGCACAGAATGTGAAACTATAAAACTAAATAACTTACTGTTACCTCCCTCCTCTCATTGTTGTCCTTTTTTTTAATTTAACAATAAAATAAATTAACCATTGTAAAAAAACATTTACCCTCTGTTTCTTATTTTTATCTTTTTTTTATTTAAAGTTTTCACACTTATTATCATTAAAAATGAAAAAAATGAAAGGCATCTTATTTAATGAAATGAACATCTGAACCCACTCTACCTCACTTGTTCATGAGTGGGCCCACTCTACCTCACTTGTTCACGAGTGGGCCCACTCTACCTCACTTGTTCACGAGTAGGCCCAATCTACCTCACTTGTTCACAAGTGGGCCCACTCAGTGTCCAGTGACCTAGTGTTCAAAATAAACTGCAAGAGTTGTTCCATGCATTTTCAGACAGTGGCTTTTGGCCTGGTAGCAAAAGCTCTCGCTTCATGTGGTGAGGGTCCAGGTTTGATTCCCGGCAAAGGATGGAAACATTGGGCATGTTTCTTTACACTGGTTGTCCATGTTTACCCATCAGTAAAAATGGGTACCTGGATGTTAGTCGACTGGTGTGGGTTGCATCCTTGGACAAGTGACCTAATTTGCTAGAAAAGCTTTTCACAACAACCAGCTTTCTATATAGTTGTATGTCATTGATATCAGCTAGGCCTGTATACCTTGTATATGTACTTGTAGAAATAAAGATTTTTTTTTTTTCAGCAAACCGGCTGTATCCCACCAAGGCAGGGTGGCCCAAAAAGAAAAACAAAAGAGAAATAAAGATATCATTATTATTATTATTAAAGTGGGAGACAGGTGCACCTGTTGAAGACTTAACCCTTTCAGGGTTAGTGCTGTACTAGTATGGCTTGCATGCCAGGGTTGGTGCCGTACTAGTATGCATAAACTCTAGCGCCTTCAAATCTAGCAAGAGAAAGCTGGTAGGCCTACATATGAAAGAATGGGACTATGTGGTCAGTGTGCACAGTATAAAAAAAATCCTACAGCACACAGTGCATAACGAGGAAAAAAAAACTCCAACCGTGTTTTTCCTTTAAAGCAACGACTTTGCAGTGTATTTTCGTATGCTATTTATGGTTGTATTCTAGTTTTCCTGGTCTCATTTTATAGAATGGAAGACATATTACAGAAATTGAGATGATTTTGATTGGTTTCACAATGAAAAGTACCTTGAAATTGAGCTCAAAGTAGCAGAAATGTTCGATTTTTGCCAAAGTTCAAAAGTAAACAAATCATGCCACACGTCCAATACACGTCAACTGGTGAGTCTAATATTCTTTCACAAGTGCGCTGATATTATTTATATCATTTCTACACCAAAGCAGTAGTATGCATAACAGTAAATCTTCTATTTTTTTTTTTTTTTTTTTTTTTTTTTTTTTTTTTTGAGAATAAAAATTCAAAGTGGAAAGCAAAAGAAATGTAAGAGAGGCCTAGGGACATGACTAATGTACAGAAATAATATTATTTTAGTGTGCCAGGAATATCTGTCTTGTTATTCTGGACCCTATTTGGAAATTGGCATCTTTTGAAATTTGTGTGAAATTGGCAAAATTGCCAATTTGTGACCACTTTATTGGATAGTTGAAATCAGTAAATGGGTGGTTTCTTGTACTCATTCGATAAAAAAAATGGAATTCTAGCAAAATAGTTATGACTTTTGTCGACTGGTACATGGGAATTGGCCAAAAATAGGGCTCAAAGTGGGCGAAATCGCTGATGTGTAAACATTGTCGAGACCGCTAACTTTGCGAGAGCATAATTCCGTAAGTTTTCCATCAAATTTTATACTTTTGGTGTCATTATGATGGGGCAAAGATTCTCTATCATTTCATGAGAAAAAATAATCTTTTTTTTTCGACCCTGAGAACAAGTTTACGAGAGGGCCTGCCGACCCCGAAAGGGTTAAGGGGTGGAGTGTGTTTCGGCTACTTTTATCTACTTAAATTCACTGCTTATTTCATAAAAACCTAGCCCAATTAAATTCACCTTTCTGAATTAACTTCTGAAAAGTTTCCTACACCCCAGTTGTAGTTATGGTATGTCTGTATTTTGAAGAGTTACCTATAATTTCTTGAGGATTCTGTATAGTGTGCCCATTGGTGCAACAGTTTCTGAATTACATTGTTCCAGATTTATCCCTTTTGGATAAGCTGGCACAAAATTACATTTGGCAGACAATCCTCTCTAACTGTCACAGTAGCAAAGAATACCGGTGATGAAGTAAGTTTGACCTATAGTATGAAGTACATAGCACATGCCATTGATGGGAATGATAGATACAGTGGACCCTCAACTAATGGCGGCATCATCTAACACCAAAATCGAGTAACGGCTCTCTTCGGCATCAAAATACAGTGGACCCCCGGTTTACGATATTATTTCATTCCAGATATATGTTCAGGTGCCAGTACTGACCGAATTTGTTCCCATAAGGAATATTGTGAATTAGATTAGTCCATTTCAGACCCCCAAACATACACATACAAATGCACTTACATAAATACACTTACATAATTGGTCTCATTGGGAGCTGATCGTAAACTGGGGGTCCACTGTATTGGCTCTACCAACGCTGAAAAACTTGTCTAAAGGCTTTCATCCCGAACGTGTCCATGTGCCCTGAGTGGGCCTAGCCACTCCAAGACTCTGTATATAGCCAGTGTGCCATTGTTTACAAGCCGTTGCGGTCAATTCCATGGGTACATGCGATATTGTATTATTCCATTGGGTTTTGGTTGTCCGTCAGGTATTGACCTTGGCATTAATTTTAGTGCTTACCTGTGATAAAGAACGAAAGAAAGCACAAAAAAGTTTAAAGTCAGACAAAGTACAAAGTGGAAAGAAACACAGAAAATTGAGAAAAATCTGCAAATGATCAGTGGAGGATAGATATGAGACGGATAGAAGCCCAGCATGATAGGCTATCCATCAGTCCATGATAAAGTGTAGAATTAACAGGCTATAGTCATAAGCTGATAAAGGTAGAATAACGGAGAAGTAAATTAATGGATAGGTAGATAAGTCAGAAGAATCTCCAGTTGCTGCTGGTATTCCTACCCTAAACCTCTGCAGCACCTCCATACCTTGTAACTAACTAATTAAAACCTTTCTCATTCAGTGTAAAATATAAGTGTCAACCTAAAAGTAATTAGTTAAATTAAATGGACCCAATGAAAAACTTAAGTCACCTGACTTCTTTTGGGTTTCCTTACCTTTGTAACTAGTTTCAGCTATCATAACTTTGGGTCCTACTCCTTATGTATACCTGTTAGTTAACTTTTGATAACCAACATGGAATATTGGGTCTTATAAATTAAACTAAAAATGTGTTATTTATAGATAAATGTGTTAGTTGTTATTTATAAATTATAATTGTTGTGTGTTGGTGGTTTGGGGGAAGCTTCTTCCAACCAACTATCAATTTGTACCAATGAGGAGGAGCAAACAGGAGTCTTTTGGCAGTGGTGCATTGCTCTTGTTGACACCTCCTTTGTTCATGATCGATACAAATGTTTAACTAAGGTAACCATTCTAAGAATAATTACTAACTGTGGGGTCTACATTGCCAATTGTACTGTTTGCATCCTAATGGCTTAAAGGGCCCAGTTTCACTGAACTGACTCTATCTTGTTAATCTTTAAATCTATCACTAAATGTCTAACTTAAGACTCTACCTGGAGTTATCCTTTGGAACGGATTCATTCCAAAATTGTGAAAATTACCTTTGTAAACTGTTCGTACCATCTTATTGGGTCTCATCAAAACATTGTGAGTTAGCCCAGAAAGTACCCAGTAAGGATGATAGAACCCTAACTTTGGTTATTGTGTCATAATAACATAAATTAGAGAAGAACTTCCATAAGAAAATGATCTTAAGGCAAGCACTAAGCCTGAGTAGATTAAACCCTTAATACAAGGAATAGATAATATGTATGGAACAAAAAGTTGCAAATGTGAACAATGACAGAAGTACCTAGTTACAAGTACTTCTGGCAGTTTTGGGAGATCACAGTGATGTCAAACTGAATGTAAATTATGTGTCAGGCTATGGTCACTGTTTGAAGACCATGTGCTTAATGGTCCACTTATTGAGGAAAGGGATTAGTATAATGACCTATGTGACATGCAGATACTTATTAATGAAAATAAGATACATATATAAGCAAAATTTCCTAAATTTGCTGTAACAGATTAAAAGTAAATATCTGTAGTTATAAATCCATATGTATCTATTTTTACCCTTTGGGTTAGCTCCTAGGCTTTTTGTTTATTACATATCTTTGCATACCAGTCCTAGGATGGTATGGGTGCAACAATAACCTCCCACTCGTGGCAAAATTAATAACTAGTGGCAGCCCTTAAACAACAGCTGACACTTACACCATTTACTCCTCTCATACATTATGACACTTTATTATTTAGAGTATATAAAATTATTTATGTTATTATATTGATTAAATGTATATTAGATGCAATTGTGATAGATAATAAGCCGTAGAGATGAATTGCATCATATTGAATTATAAAACTTGCTTCCTTTGCCCTTTTAAAGCCTCTACAGACACCAACAAATCAAGTCAATAAGGTAAAATCTATAAAAAGGGAAAATGTGATGTTAATGTTCATTTTATCCATTTTATTAGTGCTTTATATTATTTGTCATTTTTTTTTGTATGATATTTATATTTAATCTTAATTTTTTTTTTTTTTTTTTTAACACGCTGTATCCCCGAAGCGGGGTGGCCCAAAAGGAAAACGAAGTTTCTCCTTTTACATTTAGTAATATATACAGGAGAACGTGGTTACCAGCCCCTTGCTCCTGCATTTTAGTCGTCTCTTACAAACACGCATGACTTACAGAGGAAAAATTCTGTTCCACTTCCCCATGGAGGTAAGAGGAAATTAACAAGAACAAGAACTAGTAAGAAAATAGAAGAAAACCCAGAGGGGTGTGTATATATATGCTTGTATGTATGTGTAGTGTGACCTAAGTGTAAGTAGAGGTAGCAAGACGTACCTGAAACCTTGCGTGTTTGTGAGACAGAAAAATGGACACCAGCAATCCTACCATCATGTAAAACAATTACAGGCTTTCGTTTTACACTCACTTGGCAGGATGGTAGTACCTCCCTGGGCGGTTGCTGTCTACCAACCTACTACCTAGGTTGAAAAAAAATATTTTTTGTTAATACTATTGGCTGTCTGAAACGGATTAATTGGATTTCCATTATTTCTTATGGGGAAAATTAATTCGACTAGCGGCTAATTTGACTAAAGGCTAGCTCTCTGGAATGGATTAAAGGCGTTAGTTGAGGGTCCACTGTATATTATTTTACAGTGGACCCTCTGTTTTCGTCGATCTCCGCTATCGCCAACTTCGGTTTTGGCCGACTTTTTTCATTTATTTTTTGGTTCCGTTTTCATCGATTACCTCCGTTTGGTAAAGAATTTGAGAAACATGATATAATTCAAGAAAAAGCTAGTCGAAAAATACGAAATGTAGTGTTAGGAGTGGTAGTGAGGTGGTAGTGTGTTGTGATGTGGTAGAAGGTGATAGTGATGTGGTAGAGGGTATAGTAGTTTGGTTGTGATGGTGGTTGAGGGAGGTGATGGTTGTGATGGTAGAAGGTGATAAATGATGGTAGAGGGTGGTAGTGATTGTGATGGTGGTATAGGTTGGTAGTGGTTTTGATAGCTGTAGAAGGTGGTATTGGTTGTGATGGTGGTATAGGGTGGTATGGTTGGGGATAAGCTGTAAAAGGGTGGAAATTTGGTTGTGAGGGTTTGGTAGGGGTTGTGAGGGTTTAAAGGTGGTTTTGGGTTGTGATGGTGGTGGGGGTGGTAGTGGTTTGATGGTGGTAGAGGGTGGTGGGGTTTTTGTGATGGGGGGAAAGGGGGGTGGTAGTGGTTGTGATGGTGGAAAGGGGGGTTTTGGAAATTTGTGTTTGGGTATGGTTGTGGATGGGGGGTAGAGGGTGGAAAGGGGTTTGGGTGATGGGGGTAAGGGTCCCCTTTTTCAGTTTTTCAGAATTTTTCTACAAACTCCCCAATTTTTGTGGAAATTTACATGGGGTTAAAAAAAACACGGGCGCCTCAACTGCACCCTTTTGCCCCAAACATTATTACGGCTTATGTTTCACAGGGGCCCTTTACCCCCAAACCCAACAACACAAAAACCCGTCATTAAAAGCAATGACCCTTTTTTTATTATTCTAAAATATATGGGATGTTTCATGTTATTAATATTGTTTATTTTTGTATATTAGTTGAATTTTTTATATGTAAATATGCCGAGAGTTGATATTTTTGTCTTTTCTCCAACAATTAAACCCCGCCTCCCCCTCCCCTCGCCCGGTCTGCCATATACCAACAAGTCTTTTCAAATAAAAGGGAAATGTGATGTTAAAGGGCCTTTATTTCATTTTTTTAGTGCTCTATATTCATTTGTCATTTTTTCTGCATGTAAAAACTTATTTAAGTAGGGGGAAAGGGGTAGGGAAGTCACCCCTGATAAGGACTAGGTAAACTCTAAAGGGCCCTTTTGGAGGGGAATTTCCCCTTCCAAAAAAATAAATCTCTCTTCCCTCCCTTTCCCCCCTGTCTTCCATCCATCAACAAAAGCCTTCCCAATTTAAAAGGGAAGTTTTCCTGTGTAATGTTCCCTTTTTTTTGTTTTATGAAATCTAACTTTTAAGGGAAAAAAAATTTTTTTTGGTTTATCCTCTGGGTTTTAGAACGGAAAAATTCCCCTTTTTCATTATTTCCCTTTTACGGTAAAAAGGTTTCGGTTTTGGGTGATTTCCGTTTTGGGTTTATGGCTCTGGAACGATTAAACACCCAAAAAAAAAGGGGCCACTGTAATTTTTTGTAATTTTGTTAAAAAAATGAATATTTCTTTTTTTATAAATTAAAATGTAAATATTTCTTATTTATAAATTAAAATGTAAATATTTCTTATTTATAAATTAAAATGTAAATATTTCTTATTTATAAATTACATACATTGTTTAAGTGTGATGGTGGTGGTGGCAAAAGCCTCCACCTTCACCAACACGGCTTCTCTCAGTTATGTACACTGAGGGAGGAGCTAAACAGGAGTCTTTTGGCAGGGCTGCATCTGCTCTTGTTGCCACCTCCCTAGTTAAGAACGATAATAAACTTGTTGAACTAGGCATAAGAATTAACAACTGGGCATCTACATTGCAAATTGAACTGTTTGCAATCCTAATGGTGCTAAAGCTAACTTTTGACACTGAACTTGACTCTATCATTGTTACTGATTCTATGCTATCACTAAATGCTCTTAACTCATA